GGGGGGAAGGGTGTGGCAGGGCGATCGTCGCCCTGCCACGTGGCAGTTGCGACGCGACTGCCACGTGGTAAGGCGCAGGCGCCCTGCCATTCGTGTAGGGCGCATTCCCTTCCTCCCCCCCCCCATCCCCTCCCCTTTTTTTTTTCTTTTTTTTTTCTTTTTCTTTTTCTTCTTCTTGTTTTTTTTCCTTTTTTTTTCTTTTTCTTCTTTTACTTCTTATTCAACCCCTGCCTCACCCTACGGCTTACTCGGTAGACTACCGTGTGCTATAATAGGGTCAAACATTACTGAATAACACCATTCTACCCCGCAGTAGTCAACCTCTCTCTCTCTCTCTCTATCTGTTTATTTATTTATCTATCCATCTCTGTGTATGTGTCTTTGTTTCCACCTTTCTCGATATCAAGAATGTTGAAAGTCGGAGAGAAACGAAACGCAGGAGAAGAGATAGAGTGGGAACGATCACCAGATCCATATGCACCGTGGGGGGGCAAAGATGCAAACACAGACTTTAATCGATGAGAGCTGGGCTGAGATAGTTGAAAAGCAGCAAGAAGTTATAGATAAACTGACAGCTGAAGTAATCGAGCAGAAACAGTTGGTCACCTAGGCGCGAGACGAGATAGCCCGTATGAAACTTACACTCGCGAAAATGACAGAGACTGCGAAACATAGATTGTATAGCATATTCTGGTTGTTGCTGCCCTCTCCGAAGTCTCTTGTGACGGATCTAAGGGAGGGCATGACCAAAGAACTCCAAAAAATAGCCAAGGAGAAGAAGGGCACGTTTGAGGAGTACCAGAATATGGTTGCTGATCTTAAATGCTATCGGAAAAAACTTCTTCTTCACACGGACACTGCATTCGGTGCCAGAGCACAAAACGCTTGTGAATGGGATGTCACATGTTGTTCCTCTGCGGACAAATGTGTGGTCAGGGAAGGGTGGGCGTCTTACGATAGTGAGGATCTGAACAGCAGTCCGCTGACAACCTCGTCGAAAAGTCTTGTAGACTTCTTGTCTTTTGCCGATGACTGCATCCATCATTTCACGGAGACCATAGACCACTACACTCTTAACCATCGCCTGTAGACCGATGGTGCACATATGGGATGCGATGACCTTAATGGGAACTTGAGGTCTTTGCTTAACAGCTGCGCCGATATTGTATGTTCTCTTCAGTACACCAGAGATCGTCTGGCATCGGGACAATTGTTTGTAACGCCGAACCCCGTAGAAACCATGAAAACATACAATGCGCAAGTTGCGAATGCAAGCCGGGAAGATGATCACACTATGTGGATGTGCGATTGCAACACAGGTCGAAGTGTCTGTGAGCCAACGGCACACTTGCTGCTAGACTGCAGCGATATCAAATCCTTTCAATCTCATGAAATTCGACACAATTTCCCTTGCGTCCTCGCCAGCAAAACACTGTTGACAAGCAATGAAGAGTCAGCGGTACCTATGACCACAAAAATATTTGAACAGTTCATGTCAAGTGCGAATAAACGACAAATGACAAGGCTCGTGGCGGACTGTATATCCCATCTCATTTCTTTTGCAAAAGAGATGATGTCGAAGGTCGTAGCAAACGCAGATCGTCGTGCGCAGGCGATCGATTGTCAGTATTGCAAGAAAGGACTCCACATCAACGACCGGCTAAGGGCACTCTATAAGAGGTGTAAAATCGTGGCTGAACGTCTCGTTAAAGAAGTTTGATGTACCTCTCTCTCTCTCTCTCATATGCATATATGTAAACATGGGGGAAGTGTCTGTTTTAATGTCATTATGTTCTTGTCGCCAGGTTCGCCTATTCAACCCCTGTCTCAGCCTATAAATGAGTCGGTTGACTATTGCGTGCCATAATACGGTTAAACGTTACTATATAACGTCGTTCTGGCCCGCAGTAGCCAACCTCTCTCTCTCTCTCTCATATGCATATATGTATACATGTATGAAGTGTCTGCTTTAATGTCATTATGTTCTGGCCTACGAATGAGTCGGTTGACTACT